ACAAACATGGATGCCTCCAGTAAAGCACATTCAGATGAGAATTACTCTGAATTAAAAACACTGATCATTTATTGAACAGGATGGAATAATTTAATATTTAAAGTATTTTAAGGAGTTTGAATTCTGAATGTGACAGAACTTTTCCTTTAAAGAACTGAAAGATTTAATTAAATAGCACAAACATAACAGAATACAGCAGCACTGAATGAATGATCCTAAAACTTCAGAGGAGCGATTCAGAGCTTTCTTTCATCAACAGACAGCAGCTTCACTCAAACATGAAATATGCGCTGGATCTTTTATTAAGGTCTGGTGGAGTTAAAGCCTGGAAGGACTGGCGCCCAGTCAGGGTACGAGTCTAGAGAAAACAGAGGGACCCCCCATGTTGCCACAGCCAACAGGACTGTTAGGAGCCCAATCACATTGACCCCAATACCAGCCTTCACCTGCAATGGAAACCAGAGTCAGGGGGAGAAGTGGAGCAGAGAAGAGCTGAATGTTGGTAAAATGAGATGATTTCAGAGGTTTTTCTTAAGCACTGACCATGTCCATGATGGAGATGTATCCATAGGAGAAAACCACGGCATTAGGTGGGTTGGACACTGGCAGCAGGAAGGAGAAGGATGTGCAGAGTGTGGTGGGGATGAGGACGTATAACGGGTTCACATGGATGGCCTCAGCCTGGAAAAAAAAATGTCTGGTTTAGATTGAAAGCTTCCACATGTTGAAGCAATTCCTCTTGTAGAAAAGGCTGGGTCTACAGACTGGTTTTCTTCAAGGCCCAGTTCCACGATCCATCTGGGCAGGTTGCTGCCAGTGGGGCTTTTCACAATGTTGGAGGGCCATGAAAAAAATCAAGTTCTTCTACTTCAGTGGTTTAAAACCTGTAAGGTGTTCTAAAAGGACAATAATCCTAAATCAATAGACTGGTTTGCTTTCATCTCTTAGGATTGGTGGTTTATTTCGGCCCCAGATGGATGTAAATTTAAAAAAAAAAGTAAAATCATTCTGAGGATTTTGAATCTAACTTCCAAAAACATTGGCGAGTTTGAGTTTGCTTCAGTATCAGCTTCACACCTTTGTTTCTAGATGTTGGAGCTTGG